AAAACACTACAATCAATATCCCATCTTGGACAGGCACGGATAACCAAAAGTGGAAGGGAACTCACATTCGTGTCCAGTACTTTTCGAGGCTCACAGGGAGCAGCGATTATATACAGGAAGGTGATTATGACTGGGATGATGACACAACTCGGAGATTCCCTCATCTGTGGTGGAACGGTCCATACAACCAGTATGGCTACGATGCAGGACTGGATAACAGGATGAGGTATGACTCCGAGACATCAAGTTGGAGGTACGATTTTGTCTATGAATGGCCGGCTGTTGGACAGCTGAGTGTCTGGGGAACCGACAAGATAGGCACGCCAGATACCACAGAGGTTTATGGCGATGTCGATAGCTCCTCTGTGGTCAAGAAGCTTCCTCCGTCGTATCTGTCATCCAACGTCATCAATATCACGACTTTACCCCCATTTCCATATCTTGGCTGGACCATCTCCCTCAATGATGGCAATTTGCGATACCAACTAATTCCAGTTGGATCAGGATGGGTCCAGCTTGTGCTCTTCATTCTCTTGTGGGTTGTTCCGATCTTGATGGGCTTATCTGGTGTTCTCATCTTTATTCGAACCTTTTACCGTGTCAAGCTCAATAAAGATGGTAATGTGGTCAAAGGAGGTAGGCTACCAGTCCTGCTTTGGCAGAGAGTTAAAGACAAGTTCGCCGGGGACGATGAATCGCCGAAGATAATGCCAGAAACGGCCGTGTCGACAGACATTGCTGTCGCGGGCGCCTCCAACCAACGACGCACAGTATTGATCGCAACAATGGAATACGACATCCAAGACTGGGGGCTGAAGGTTAAGATTGGGGGTCTAGGTGTGATGGCCCAGCTCATGTCCCAGAACTTGAAACATCAGAATCTTATCTGGGTGGTTCCATGCGTCGGTGATATCGATTACCCCCAAGACACGCCTGCTGAGCCCTATGTGATTACGATACTGGATAAACCATATTTGGTGAAGGTACAGTACCACGTAGTCGAAAACATCACTTATGTCCTGCTTGACGCTCCCGTCTTTCGTCAGCAGACCAAGGCAGAGCCATATCCTCCCCGTATGGACGACCTTGACAGTGCAGTTTACTATTCAGCGTGGAATCAGTGTATCGCAGAAACGATGAAGCAATCACCGGCGATTGACCTGTACCATATCAACGACTTCCATGGGTGCCTGGCGCCGCTTTATCTGTTGCCGACTCGCACGATACCCGTTTGTGTTTCATTGCATAACGCGGAGTTCCAAGGCCTTTGGGCGCTGCGAACGTTGCAAGAAAAGAAAGAAGTTTGTTCTGTGTTCAATATCCCACTTGAAATTGCAACCAAATATTGTCAGTTCGGGAATGTGTTCAATTTACTTCACACCGGTGCTAGCTATTTGCGATACCATCAACGTGGCTTCGGTGCAGTTGGTGTGTCCCAGAAGTATGGCAAGCGGTCATGGGCTCGCTATCCAATTTTCTGGAGTCTTGATAAGATTGGCAGTCTCCCAAACCCAGACCCCTCTGACACAGGCACGTTGGAGGATAGCTCCGACGGGGAAGTTCCTATTCAGTCCTACGATGAACGAATAAGCGAGAAGTTGCAGGCACAAAAGTGGGCTGGTCTGAGTGAGGATCACAATGCTGATCTGTTGGTATTCGTTGGACGATGGTCAAAGCAGAAGGGCGTGGACTTGATTGCGGATGTCATACCGGCGGTATTGTCTGCAAGACCACAGGTTCAATTGATCTGTGTCGGCCCTATCATCGACCTGTATGGCAGGCTCGCTGCTATCAAGCTGGAGCGCATCATGGAAATGTTTCCAGGTCGTGTTTTCTCGAAGCCAGAGTTTACTGTCCTGCCTCCCTATGTATTTTCTGGTGCAGACTTTGCCTTGATCCCCTCTCGGGACGAACCATTCGGACTGATTGCCGTTGAATTTGGACGAAAGGGTGCGCTTGGGATCGGCTCTCGCATCGGAGGTCTGGGCCAAATGCCTGGGTGGTGGTACACAGTGGAATCCGACTCGGCGCGTCATCTCTTGCATCAATTGAGAACAGCAATCAAGTCTGCGCTTGACTCATCAGAAGAGACGCGAAGGGAAATGCGGGCAAACTCTGCCAAGCAGCGATTCCCCGTCCTTGAATGGACCCAGAAACTCGAAGTCTTGCAACGAACAGCAATCCACATCCATCATGCGAAGAACCGAACTACCACCGCGAGCCCCGCACAGTCACAAATATACTCAGAGATGCGGGACGAGCATTTCTCAACAGTGGCCCTTCCAAGATTCAATATGTCCCTAGCAGAGGGCTTGGACTCGCCACCAGTGAGAACGTCACAACTCGCTCATCCATCTCTTCAAGAACTACAGGCAGCTGACCTCAGGGGCGCTGCAAGTAACAGGAGCAGCATTCTGGGCCGCAAACTCTCGCTTGGACGGCGAGATGGCCCTGGCCGGGGAAGAAAGCGACTTGTCAAAAAGTCATTGCGCGAGAGTCAAATTTTCGACCAGAGAGCTGAAAGTGATACCACGGACGCTGAAGACGAAGGCACCGACACGCCACAAGAGGATTACATTTCCCCCGAAGAGGCTATGGCAGCTGTTAACCGGGCTCTTGGATCTCAGGAAGTTGGTTCTTATCGAAACAACAGCCGCCACTCTCCACGCGGGTCCGAGATATCTACCCCGGACTCATCACGTTTTGTCTCGCGGGAGTCTTCTCCAGTGAGAGCTCCTCTCCCTCACATCCGCAATGTGTCTGTTCTTTCCTTGCCGTCTGTTATCGGTGATCATGAACAATCTGTCTTCGAGCTGCAGAAGGTTGATCCAACCTTTACTGACAGTATGGGTCACTTCACGCGGCACTTCGAAACGCTTCTGATCAACCTGAATATGAAAAATTCTATCACGGACTACTGTATTGAGACGTACTTGATGAAGAGCGAGCGGAAATTCTTCAACATGTACAATGACGCGCAATTGAAGGTTCAGCCCAAAGAACGTGCACTGGATGAAGCTGCTTCGGAGGATGCCGTTGATAGCACGGCGTATACTCGCGTTTCTCGGACCGCTGGAGAGTTGGAAACTAACGATCTTGGTGAATTTGATGAATGGCTCTCTCGGCTGGGATACAAGAGACCGATTGCCATCCAGAGGTTTATGAGACGGCGTGTTCAGAATTGGCCCGTCTACGCTCTGTTCTTGGGCCTTGGCCAGATCATCGCGACAAACTCGGCACAGATAACTCTTCTTGTTGGTCAGGTAGGCGAGACTGCTGTTAAGCTCTACATTATTGCGACCATCTATTGCGTCTCCACTATCGCTTGGTGGACTCTCTTCTACCGCTTCCCATCGGTGATTGTCCTCAGTCTCCCATGGCTGTTATACTCCCTAGCGTTCATGGTCATCGGCGTTTCACCATTCGGAATCACAAGTATCGGTCGAGCATGGGCACAGAATGTTGCCGCTGGCGTCTATGCGGCTGCATCTTCCAGTGGATCTCTGTTCTTTGCGCTGAACTTTGGTGATCAGGGTGCGGTTCCCGTGAAAGACTGGATGTTCCGCGCAAGTATTATCCAGGGAATCCAACAGATTTACACTGTTGCACTGTGGTACTGGAGCTCCAGGGTCACTGCGGTGGAGGTTGGGGGCGTTTCTACGGCTACTTTGAACACATGGAAACTCACCGCTGTGGTGATGCCTATCGCCGCCATATGTCTTGTCATTGGCATTGTACTTGCTCTTGGCCTGCCGAAATACTATCGTCAATCTTCCGGAAAGGTTCTATTTTTTGACACGTCACTCTTCCGCCGGCGTATTGTTCTTTGGTTCTTTTTCATGGTCATTATCCAGAACTGGTTCCTCGCAGCGGCGTTTGGCCGCAACTGGTCTTTCTTGTGGTCATCTAAACATGTCAGGACATGGGAGGTGGTGCTTTTAGTGGTATTCTTCTTTGTCATTCTTTGGATAGTTGCGCTCCTCATATTCCGATTCCTGTCCAAAGAGCACAGCTGGGTCTTACCCGTTTTCGGACTAAGTGTCGGCGCACCGCGCTGGGCGCAAACTTGGTGGGGAACCTCTAACATCGGATTCTACCTCCCGTGGGCAAGCAGTCTGACCTCCGGGGCTCTCGCCTCTCGCTGTGTCTGGCTGTGGCTGGGGTTCCTTGATGAGATTCAACAAGTCGGCCTGGGAATGATTCTCTTGCAAACCCTAACCAGAGTTCATGTCTGCTTTGTCCTACTAGTCGCCCAGTTTCTTGGGTCTGTCGCTACCATTTGTGCCCGTGGGTTTGCCCCAAACAAGGTCGGTCCGGCAGGCATCTCTCCGGATGTGGGCTCGTCAGCGGACAAAGTAGCCAATGCGTGGTTTTGGATCGCCCTTTTCTTCCAGCTTTTGGCCAGGTCATTGACAATTCCCTATTCTATTCGAAAATCATACTAACTGTCCGCTTAGTTTTGGTTTCCTTCTGTTTTACCGGCGAGAACAGCTTAACCGACCCTGAGCTGTTTACAGCCTTTGTATATCGGATCCGCGGATCGCATCACCACGTGTCAAGCATCACCGCGTGTCAACAATTGGAGTTGTCATCCAAATCCAGCCAGAATCATGAGTGAACGCAGATCAAAATAGCACCTTTGTATGGATGTTTGACTTTGAATCTCCCAGGCATACTGTGCCTGTTGAAGGTGACACTTGCCGTGCAAATGAATTCTTGACTGAATATATATTAATTAAGCCTGCCATATATAGTCTAATCTAATAAGTTCGATTAATTATGGCTAAATGTTTCTTTATTAAATACGGCAAATTGGCTGCCGGATTGTAATGTCACCTTGCGCTGGAATAGATCCTCTACAGACGAGTGAAGTGATCTTAGATATATCTCATGATGCAGGCAATAAAATGAGTCTATGTATTAAAGTGCCCATTACAAGTGGGTATGGTCGGTTCCTGGCAGCTCCCCCTGATCCCAATCGCCACCGGCGCTTTGATTCTCTAAGTGGCATCATTCAATGTTTTGGTTTGCTCAGGGGTCACGTCATGACCGAAGGTTTTCACTTGGCTCATGTTCATGTCATCCTGAATCGCCGGATGTTCCAACATGCGGTCCGAGCATGCCTCAATATTAGGCCAGATTTTGATATCGATACCGGGAAATTTGAATATCCACGGCATAGCAAAGGGAAAACAGGAACGCTCCGCTAGAGTCGGACGGTCAACAAGTGCTACCTACTATTGACTTTCCCCAGCTGCTGATTTAGAATATTCCATTTCTTGATCCTGGGCGAGAGTGATGATAGACATACTTGGCGATTTTGCGTGGCAACTGGACGCTGTCTTATGAGTGCGATAACCTCGCAGAAAATAGAGCCATTGTTTAACAGTTGCACCAGTCATCATCAAACATAGCTTTTTTTATGCTCTTTTTCTTAAAGCAATATTACTTACTCTATTCCTACGGTTTGATATGCCACCCACGTGAAGACTGCACCTCTCTCGGCGGCAGTGTATCCGGACCGTTCGCCATGCACGTCGAACCGATCGGCAAGATACTGCAGACATACTGCGCCATCAAACACGTTAATGCGCTCACCTATTTCGCGGTCCTTATCTTTAAGCGAGGGTACCATGCGCTCCGGGCAGATCTCGTATGCCATTGTGAGGTGGAAACAATCATGAAGAGGACATGGGGAATACATGGGGAACCTCCAGTTCCCGGGCCAAGATCAAGGGTTTGGTGTAGTTGATGTATGAGCTGTCACCGGCAAGGGGTTACGTGAGCATTCCCACCCAGTCACATGAAAGTTTTCTAAATAAGTTCTAATGTCAGCCCTGTACATCGACAGCCATATCTTGGAAATCCAGGACAATTACTTAGTTGCTGCTCATACCATCTGTTAGCTCTGTATATCGATAGCCATAAACCTGAAATCCAGGGTAGTCACTTACTTCTGCTCAGTAGATCTGTCAGCTCCGTATATGGACAGCCATATTTCAGAATTTCACGGTCTCCAGGAAGCATGTATTAACCTCGCGCCATCATGCTTTGACCACTCGCAACCATAGAGGATCGACAATATACAGGTGTCGGCACGTCAGCGTCGGAGCCAGCTCCCTAAGAAGCAGTCTCTGTATTTCTCTAATACCACTTGTTTCTCAGGCATCTTCACCTTACCTAGTTGACATGCTCTGTCCTGCCGACACTAGAACCCTTCTTGCTTTACACAGAACCCCGGGAAACTTGCTTACACCTATCATGCGTCACGTAACGATTAGAAGTTGACGTGATGGAAGCGCATAACGAATTTAAAGGATAATGAAGAGAGGGGTAATTTGTGTATTGCGCTAAATGCTTCTCCATTGGAGTATTTCTATTATGCAAAAGGCACTTGGTGCGGCCCAATATCAGCTAGTCGCTCATTGAAAAAGCATCCTTTGTGTGAAGATCACATAGTACATATGAAGCTCATAGTACCCGGAGATATTGGCCTACTTCATCTTCCTGCTGCTATTCTTTACTTTGTTTAACTGTTCCCTTAAACGACACGCATCCCACCTTCTTGCAATCCGTAAACCTATTGTTGCGGACACAAAATGACTGTAGGGGATAGGTGAGTATGGCCCTTACCTTAACCCTATTTTACTTTTTCGGGATTGTCTTTATAATCTACCCGAGATATAAGCCTCGAACTTACTACAGCTACATTCCGTTCGCCCTAAGCTTAATTGTTCTCCCCTTAAGCAGTTATATTACTAACTATATCCAAGATTTTTAAACGTCCTTGCAATTTTCTAATAGTGAGGGTCACTTTCTATACTATAAGACTATATATAATAGGGCTGTTAGCCAGGCCGCTTTCGGAGTTCTAGTGATTATTACCTCTCTTGTACGTTTTGTCGTACGTGACTTACGCGGTTACGAGTAGAGTACGCAAGTAAGCTAACGTAACAGCTAAAGTGGCGGTTCGAGGTGCTTCCTAAACTAGGGTTGTAAGGTAACGAGGTAGAGAGCATTTCGAATGAACATAATCGCAGGTTTTCCCCATAAGGTTTCGGATAAAAGAAGCAGATGTAGAACTGGGAGCAATTAGAGAGATATAGGTGATAAAATCGTGCAAAGGAATTGAGTTACTACAGCCTTGCTTATAAGTTTGCTAACTAAATTGTATGATTGGAATTAAAGCATGTTCAAATCTAAATCTAACTTGCCCACCGATCATGACCGATTCTGGAGCAGTAACATTACGTTAATGCTCGTACCTAAGGGCTCGGCACGAAACATGTTTCAATTGATGATCTTTTCTGTGTAAATTTCCATCGACCTTGGATTTATAAACATTTTAGAACGCTGACCCCGGAACATGTGGACGGCTCAGGAATCACATAGTCCTAGTAAATCTGAAATCTATAGCTTCTAGGTTTCTCTATCTTTACTTTGAGAAGAAAATCAAGCCATATCCCTGAGGGTTGTAACGGCGTCCTCTTGCTCCCAGAGGCTTCGGTGCGGCTTCTGCGAGCATATAAGCCGCTTCTAGGAACCATATAGGTCCTAGGAACCCCGACGTAGCTTCTGGGGCCTTTTACCTCCACCTCTGGGAACACATTCAATACAGGTAATTCGTTCGGCTTGACCACCCTTTAGAAATCCGGCAGTTGAAAAGTTTGAAATAACCTTTCGCGGCTTTCCCTGGCCAAAAGCTTAACCAGTCTCGTCCCAACTGAAGATATCATTCGGTAAATGGATATTCTCGCTCTGAATGGGCTTTTTTCTCTCTCGGGATTTTGGGTAATATAGTGAAAATGGGGCGGAAGCCGTCGAATTAACCGGTAAATGGCCGACAACCCGGTTCTCGCCAGATCGCTGTAAAATACAACCCGCAGTGGGTTCAACAATGGCTGGGAAGGGGTTTGCGTATGCATTGTTGAGGGAAGTGGTTGGCAGTTTGGCTCTTCCAACCCTGAATCGGACCGCGCAGAACTCGGCAAGAAACCTGGAATTCTCACGCGACTGCGCAAATGCTAGGCTAATCGCTATCATAGTAAATATGCCCTTTAATATTGTATCATTGGATGCTGGGGTTTTGAGGCATCTCTTGGTCATAGAAAATAGGTCGGAACATGATGGAAAGGTGAAAATTTTACGTTGGGTGGAAACGACCAACCCATGCTCTGCTGGGTGGGGGTGGTTTAACCAAACGAGGATTAGAGGGAGCCGCTCAGCGGTAGGCTGGGGTAAATGAATTCTCACAAATACACACGCAGATACAAAGTTGGTTCCGTAGTTTGGTTTTGTTCTCATTCTAATCTTTTATTCTTTTATTATTTTATTATTTTATTATTTTATTATTTTATTCGCCATTGCCATTTGCCAATGCCCCGCTTTATCTGAAGTGTTCTATGGACCCAAGTATGCGTGTCTTTGCGTTTTTTTATTTCACTCTGTGCCTAGCCGGGGCATGCTCGCTGTTCAAATCTGTATAAATCCCACTCGTTTACCTCCGGGTTTATTTTTCTTTCCACAAACACATTCACTTCAAAGTAAATCACTACAAACGTTCTTTATCTTATTCATTCCCTTCAATACCGACGTCGACTCTCGTTGAATTCGTTACTCTGTTGACCAAACTCAATCACATACCAACTATAACTGCATCGGTCGGACTATATATTCCTACATTCAGAATGATGTTCGCCAAGACCCTCGGCATTGCTAGCCTCTTCTCCGTTATTGCCTCCGCTCTTCCCCAGGACATGATGGTCAGCCGCGAGGACATGTTCCGCCGTGACGGCGGCGGTGTCACGATCATCAACAACCTCCAGCAGGACGTCTACGCCTGGTCCGTGGCCGACGTCGTCGGCCCTATGCAGACCATCAACAGCGGCGGTGGAATCTACTCTGAGAACTGGCGCACCAACCCCAACGGCGGTGGTATCTCAATCAAGATCGCCCTCAACCAGGAGCAACAGGACGTCCTCCAGTTCGAGTACACCGAGTCCGGTGACACTATTTTCTGGGATCTGTCTTGCATCAACATGGACTCTAGCAGCATGTTCATCAACTCCGGCTTCGCTGTCGTGCCCTCCGATGTGACTTCCACTTGCCCTTCGGCTATCTGCACGGCTGGTGATTCCGCTTGCTCTGCGGCTTACCTCCAGCCCACTGATGATTATGCCACCCACGGCTGCCCTATCAGTACCGCTCTTAACCTGTCTATTGGCTAGTCCTAGTCTGTCTATCAGTCTGCCTTGATTATTGCCGGTTAAACCGTGCATCCCTTCTTTTTTTACCTTTCAAACTTGTCGTATCTAGCCCTAGTCGGCAGATGGCGTTTTTCTTTCTTCTTATGTGCCACGCCAGAGAGTGATGCCTTTCCGAGATGAGATTGGTGAATTTTTGTTACTCAACATGTTCAGTTGAATTGATATGCCTTCTCCCCAACTACAGCGTGTTGATTCCCGCAGGGGCAGGATGTCTCGTCACGAGAGTTTACTTTAGAAATCCCCCGCCAACATCTGTATTGAGTATGGAAACGGGAGTTACATGACGAGGTGGGCGAGGGGTGTATAGACATGTGAATAGACGATGATCATCAGATCTAGAAAGGTTTACACGAAATATACGATCTTTACTTCAGAAGACTTGCCTGTAATGTAGTCCAGTATTAAACTCCTCTACATTTTCTCGATACTGGCATGGGGGACTTGGAAGTATCCCATATCTAGACCCTTCTGGTTCGATAAAGACGAGATAAAATTTTTTAATAATCATTGGGGGAAAAAGCCACAAAAAGCCACAAAACAGCCTCAAGCCAGGAACAAAAAACCCCGCTCAAAGTCGGTATGAGGCAAAGAGACCGGAACAGCGAAGAATATGCGCCAACGCCGAAGTCTACCATCTAGAACAAGTGATAGACAGGAACCATTGATAGACTCCAACACTCAACGCTCCTATTTGCAGATCTGGCTAGACTCCTCAGGTCCGTCCCACAGAATGGGGATCCTCCACCAGTTCGATGGGTAGATAACTTTGGCGTCGTTGCTGCTTCCAAGGTTGGCTCCATCGGACATGTAAGCGGTGTTCGCTGAGGGGATGTGCGGCTTGAAGGCTTTCGATTGGACATTTCCGAACTGGAAGGTTGGATCCGATTTATGGGCTTTTTTAAAGTTTGTTCTGGAAAAGAGCGGGTCGGGTCGATAAGACCTGGCTGATCTGCGATTTTACTGCGTTGGAGTCACCGTTCACACCTGGGGGAGGTTTTAACGCCAGCTTAGTACATCGCTTTCGTCATAGCATTGGTTATACGTAGACCGTTAGCAGTACCTGAGTCTTGCGGGTAGGATGAACTCGTAGCGAATCACCCAAACTTAAACTGCGGACTTATCCATTCACAATTCGCAGAAAACGCCTGTCAAGCCTGTTCCTATCGAGAGACGAATCGATTAGCTGGTTGAACCACGTCTCTTCTCACGGCGACCATGGAACAACCGGGTAAATATGAGAGGGGAACTGCTGGGAGCGAATAGATGTATAGAGGCAGATTATTAAGGTTCTGTCATCCGATGGCTAGGGTTATGTTTAAATTCCCCCCGGCTCCAATGCCGCGCCAACTTTCAGTGCCAAAGTTGGCACTGCTTAATTCTTGGTTGAACAGTGTAGAACCGATGTCGTGGTAAAGTTCATATCAATTTTATCAAAGTACCATGTTTCATATATTTATGAAATATAGGTGACAAAGCTTAAGAATTAATTGGACTAATCAGAATCTGCCGACTCCTCGGATTGCTATCTGGTCAACGTTTGCTGCGTGGGCAATACCATCGAGCCCCGCCCGAGGAGGAAGATAGGAAAGAGATGGCAACCGACGGACCACTTTCGTAAAGCTCATACGTTATGCCACAACCTACTATGCCGACAGTTAAGAGGCGAAACTCTATCTCACAAGACTACGGGGACATTACTTCTTCCCACGGAGCAATACTGCCCCACGCGACTGGAACTCGGCGTCCAGAATTTCGACGTTTAGTAGATGTTCGGTTACCTTTTGCTGGCAGGCCCAACAGACCGGATTCTCTTTCGCCACAGAAAAGACTGAACCCATTCACATCACCCGGAAGAGGAAAGAACAAAATCAGGGCCAGCTCATCATGAACGGTAACGCCATCAACCTTCCCCGACTGCCAAGGTCTTGGGGCGATTTTCGACCACGAGCTGAGGTGGAAGGAACACGTGCAACAAGCTGTTAAACGAGCCACTAGGGTCCAACACCACGCTTGAATTTGCGATAGCTGCGTCCAGAGCAAATACGAGGCGTGTGTCGCACCGGTCGTTAACCACACTTCGACTGTTTGCGATGACCGACTCCGAGACAACGCCCATTTACGGCACTTGTTCGCGTCCTGGGCGCCTTTCGGACAGCGGCGAGAGTAACCTGGACGTGGAGGCACATGTACTACCAACACATCAATCAATCAATCAACCAAAGTTCTATTAACCTGTTGCCCTATCTCCTGCGCGAATCTATCACCAATCGCTTCAGCTTGAGCCACGATGCATGTGTCTCATCGGCATCTTCGGATCTCAAAAGTCGATTGAAGTCTTTGAATTATGGAACTGCGGAAAATATGAGATTGACTTTTGGGCACTCACGACATGTCAATAGTGCCTTGATCCTGGGTATCATTGCGGTGCGGCGTCCTCACTCTGCTCAAACCGCAGCAATCTTGAATGATCTTGAAGAATACTGCGAGAGACTGCGAAAGGACGTCTGTTGAACGAATTGGCCTCGCTGATGTCAAAATAGTGGAGCTTTGTATCATACGCACTGCGGGCTTTACCCAGGCGACCGATCAGCCAGGGAAGCAAGCTTCAATGAGCCCACCGGAAGTCATACCGGATTTCGCGATAAAGGAACACGAATATGGGCCCCGAGTCCACTGCGCTCGACGCTTCGCTAGACATGATGTGGCCGGCCGCCTGGGAAGATCAAAACCTCACATTTCTACAAGCCCCTGATCTTGAAACTTGGGAGCAGATGATCTCCGAAATTGCCTACCACACCTAGCATATGAAAGACCCGAACAACATTCCCGTTGATTTAACATGTGTTTCCAACTTGCATATCTTTTACATGTGTATTAATCATGAACATTGACTAGACAGCACGCCTCACCATATCATCAACCATCAACTGGCTAGCTCCCATATATTCCAACGGGTCACAGGAAGCAGCCAGCTGCCCCCCGTTGCAATTCCAACTAACGAAGGCAATCTCTCGAGAACTTCAAGCAAAGTTTTGTTTTTATCGATGGCAGACTTGCAAGCTTCATAGACCAGATCATGAGCGCCCTGTCGTCCCAAATGTGGTGCCAGTCCCATCATAACAGCCTCACCCACAATCAATCCCTTGGTGGAATACAGATTGCGTTTCATCGAGTCCACCTTCACCGCCAACCGCCCGAGAGCGAAATTCGTCTGATGCAGAGCACCGGCTGCAGCCACGAAAGCGTCAGGAATAGCCACCCATTCCAAATGCCACGGTCCAGATGCGCGTTCGAAGTCCGTGACCATCGCATCTAGCCCCAGCGACGCATTGGCGCACAGCATCTTGGACGCAGCCAAAATGACCTCACTGGAGAACGGATTACGCTTCTGTGGCATTGTGGACGAAGCACCTCTGTGAGGCACGAATGGCTCCGAGACCTCGTCGAACTCATTCGAGGACATGATCATCACGTCCAATGCAATCTTGCCCAATGTGCCACCCACTAGAGCGAGGAAGTTGAGGGTCTCCGCGATGTTATCGCGCGCAACATGCCAGGTGATATGAGGATCCTTAAGCCCAAGCTCTGCTGCAAGCTGCTTGCGAGTCCGAAGACCGGTATCATCCCGGCCCAATGAAGCGATCGTGCCCGCGGCACCTCCGAACTGGACAAGCAAACACCGTTGCTCGATCTCCTCGATGCGCTCGAGGTGTCGGAGGATGCTGGAGCGGTATACGGCGCATTTGTATCCGAACGTGCAAGGAAGAGCGTGCTGTAGATGTGTTCGCCCTGCCATTGGACTAAATATACCATTACTTTATGCCGTGAAAGCGAGGGAGGGGAACTCACGTGTCACGATGCGTGCTTGCAAGACCCTTAAGAACTTCCTTCAGATTCTCAAGCTCTCTCTTCACCAAAACGAGTCCTCGTTTGATCTGAAGCATGGAGGCATTATCTTGGATATCTTGTGTCGTCGCTCTCCAATGGATATAGTTGGCCATCTCATCGGCCGTCCCTTCGACCAATTGCCGAACCAATGGAAGAACAGGATATCCCACGATATCAGTTTCAATTGCCAGACCCTTGTAGCTATCAAGAAGCGATGAGTGTCTATTCTGTGATTGCAGGATACGAATTGAACGTACTCAATCTGAAGGCTTGCAAAAGCATCGGTAATCGCCTTGCCCGCATCGGCTGGAATAACACCAACGGTTGCTTCGGCGCGCGATAGGGCGGCTTCAACTTCTATTAGGGACCGCACATATGCCTCGTCCGTAAAAATGTCGCGGATTTCTTGTGTTCCGAATAAGTTGCGGAAAATGCGAGAGTCGAGGGCAGAGACGGCCATGGTCAGGGTGTATCTTCGGATGATTGTGATGAGTGTAATGGAGTTCTTTGCCTTTAAATATTTTATTCCGAGTTTTGTTTCCCCCTCATACGGATTTGGCATGACGCCAGGTGAGATGGTTGCTTGCTTCGGAATAGGCTGCTATTCCGATAGTATGGTGGAGCAGGCCCGGGCATAGTCCGATGCCATCTGAATCGGTTCATGCGGCATACATTTAGCTGGTCTCGGTAAACTTGTGATAATTATATTTATGTGCCCTAGATCCCTTCCAATGGTAAAAGATGGCGAATATCTTGATTGGTCAACGATATAGAGCTTAATATGAGCCTGACACCCTACGTCTAGAAATTCTAGCGGCACTGTTAATAATTGACATATTCCCATGTGCCATCTGCACGTCTTTTTATCCATCATGCTGTATTCTTTCTTGATATGCTCCGGGGGTTCGTTAAATTGATTGTAAGTATCACGAGTACATAGAGCCTCAATACCCTCCCATATCCTCCAGGGTGAATGACTTTAACATCCGCTTTTTGTACACTTGTAGACACTATGAAGCCATGAAGAAACAGAAGAAAGTGTGATCATATCCCTAGATCCGACACACTGTCTAGCAAGGTAATCTGAAACTGTATCGCAGCAAAAAAGGATCACACCCATGTATTATTCAATTTCATAGAGCACGATAACCAAAGCCTCATATTTCACGGCTCGGGGACCTAGCAGAGTACTATTTATGTTCAACCTCACCCTTCTCTCGAGTGTCTCGGGGAAGATCAGGCATGGCCTAGATAGGCCGGTTCTTGGCAAATCGAACAGCTGTTCATACCGACGGACTCTCGCGGAAGATGAGATCAATCTCCTCTAGCGAATGTCCCATGGTCTCGGTGTGGTAAGTAAGCGAGTGGTAATGGATGTAAGCTAGGGAGGCTCATCTCGGGATACAAAAAGCAGAACCAATACACGTATAAACAATATAGTACTTATACCCAATTGTTTTTATTGCGACCGGCGTGATCATGGCGACCACAACGTTCCTATCATGATGGTTAGATGTTTGGTAGATTATTTGAATAAACGGGTGGGCATACCGAAGCCAGTGATTTGCGGTAGATATACTTGACATGGCGACGCGGAGACGGGTAGGTGCCACCTCTGTGCAGTAGAAGAAGTTGGCACCAAGGAATCCAATTGGAATGAAAAGGAAGATGAAGAGAACACTGATGATCTGCGCGGCGTAGTTGGAATGGGGGAAAGACGTGGCGATTGCCAGACCTAGTATGCAGCTAGCCATTCAAGCCGCGACGACCAAATCTGTCGATAGTGAAGAACAATACAGAACATGATAGTAATTTCCATGTAAGCGTGCCGCCAGAGAGGATACGGGCTGTCTCGGCGTCTAGCCCTAGACCTTGTTCGAATATCACCGAAGAGTAGACTGAGATCATATTGCCGCCTGGCATCTGTTGGAAAAATTGGAGTAAGATGCAGATAGAAAACCCGTTCGCTATGCCAGACTGCCATCATGCCATCCCCTGTCACACCCTAAGATCCCGCAACTTTACCAATACCTGTCAACTGTAAGCCCAAGCGTGGATTACTTACTCGACCTTGTCGATGCCTAACTGGAATATCGTTGTATATTGCGACAAGCCTGTCTGTACCTGCGGCTTTTAATTGCATACTACTTGGACGTGAAGGCTCATGATTTCTGCTACTCGTGGTATCACTTTCGAGCCACCTGCCGCTATGTAGAATGCTTATTACCTACGATATTTCCTCACCTTCCATGTTAATGGTGATCTCGTTTATGCTGATTGTCAGTGGATGCACTAGATGATTCACAGGCCGTCAGATGAACTTTATATTTTCAAAAGTATTCTCATAATCCCTGGTCGGCAAACCACTGGGTCAAAGTTGCCCTATCACGTTACCAAATTGACTGGATGCATACTGAAATCTCCTCCTGCAATCTAGGACGCCCACTGGTTACCGAATATTAGGTAACGTCCACCAGAGTGACAAGAAGTCAAAATCATAAGAAATCATAGTTTCGCTAAAAACTTAGCTTCAAGCCATCGTGAGAGCCAGCGAATTTAGCAGAACCCACAATTGTAGGACTACCATATCAACTCATGCCCTATATACACCGACTTGCCTACGGGCCTAATCGCAAATGGCAGACCTAACATAGTGATTGAGTGGTTGATCAATTAGGTGCGGTCGGACCCTGCCCGTACGGGGCTCGTGCTGCCGTCTTGCCTTCTCATCTTTTCTCATTTGAAACACGACGGTTACATTGCCCTAATCCACGGGCTAACTGCTTTGCAGTTTAGGAGCAAGTATTCGCTACATTAAGAATACTAAGTATTGCATTCTATCCCTAATTTTCGTTGCTTTCGCTACTATTATTCACTATGCTTGCGGGGCCTGATAAAAGCTTCCTCTCGTCGTATATGAGGATTAACAACGACTCAGGACATTCGAAGAAGAAGGACAATGGCATTTTTCTGGCTCCTCAACCGAGCGACGATCTAGGACATCCATTGGTGAGTAAAAATGACCAAGATCGCAAACAACCATCATAATGCATTCACTTATCGCTTTTTTAGAACTGGCCAATTCACAAAAAGATCCTCATAATATGTTGTATTGCCTTGATGGCTTTGCGGCCCAAATGTCACCCAATTCCAACTAGCTCACTTTTGTCTATCAAATCCCCACGTGTAACAACCTTCCACAAGCAGCTCTCCGATAGCATCACTTGAAAGATGATGATAGATCAACCAAAGTGCCTATGCTCGGAAGAAGGGAAATAACATAATTCAATACTTATAGACCAGCTCTAGTATTTTAATTTCATTGCTACTTACAATGGAAGCAAGGTGGTCAGACGGAAAGCTTCAGATGCCCACAAATTTGTAAAAAATTAGTGAGAGTGGCATTACAACATCATAGTTCGCGGTATCGGCTGTCCCCATTCCATTTCTCGAACCAAAAAAGGTCCACAGGAGAGCAAAAGCAGAGGCCACCCTAGTATAGTAAGTCCAGACGCCGTGCCAGTGGAGGGACGGCTGGACTCTGAGGTTGTGGGTGACGCTGTCTGCGTGCCGGTCGACACACCGCTTGCCCTTGAGCTTGTGGAGGAGCCTGCGGATGCGGCCGTCGCAGTAACAGAGGACGCTGTGGAATTTTGCCATCTTTCAACCACGTATTGAACCATGGCACTGGTGTATTTCTGAAGATAGAGAACATGAACCGCATCGATGTGGCCTGCGTCGCATAGTCGTCACCTTGGTCGCACCATGATGTCATCCGGTCGCCGTACTGCTTGCACACGATGTTGTTCGTTCGCGGTAAGGTCTAATCAAAAGAAAGAGAGAAAAGCCAGTTAATCCAAAAAGAGTAGTAGACCTGTTCTCGGCGTTACTGCTTACTCCGTTGTGAAAGCTTCTGTCGCGATCATAGGCTGCGTTAGCAATGTCCGTTGGGTCGCCAAACAACACGGCCGCAACGACTAAAGCTGCGTTAGACTGAGCGGATTCTATTAGCATTGGGGGCACTCACCGGTGCTCTTAACTCTATCTGGTAATAGCGGTGGATTATGGTTGAAGTCGCCACCAGCGCCGCGGCAAAGGACAACAGAGGTTAATGGCCCTGATAATCAGTGGGTTACCATATTCACGAGTGATTCGCGCAATCTCTCGTAACATACCTGCGAGTATCCCAAGAGAACCATTTTTGAAACCGGGCAGGGATGAGTGGTACTCATTTGCCAGCTGCAGCATAACATTTGGCGC